ATTTCTTTGCACCAGTAACAAATGTCTTATAGAACAAGACAGGTGCGGCTATATTGGGCGATTTTTTTTGAAAAAATAATGGTTAATTGTTGTGATAAATTATTAAATAGTTTCAGATCGATGTCGAAGTGCAGCGAGCGAGCCGTGGCGCGCTCCTAATTCCGAATTACAATTGGACTGGTCGATCACACATCATTAGCGAGAAGCGGTGTTCAAGAGTGCCCGCGAGGCGCAGTGGTCTATCCCAACTGCGATCTGACCAGAACATCAACTGCTGTTGGAGCTCCTTCTCCAACTCCAGAACTGGAACTTACTGGGTGTATTACCCAACTGATTGGTCCATAGCTACAGTGAGCAACGCCGTTATAAGAACCATCTCAAATGGCAACAAGCAACCCCCCCAGTCGCTTATCGGAGAGCAACTATTATCCAACCGTCTCAGAGCTTCTGAATGCTCCCTCCGCAGTACTTTCTGCCTTTGCTTCGAAAACAAGCAAGAAAACGCTTGAATGTCTGTTGAGAGAAACCATTGCCCAGATGAACCTTTTTTTCGGGAAGGAAGAGAGAAAAAAGAGAAGAAATAAACGAGAGTATTGCTGAAATGAGTCAAACAGTGGTTGATCTGAAAAGAGAGTTTGTCGAGACAACACCTGGAGTAGAAACTAGCTGGAAAGCAGAGATCGTAGACGGAATTAAAGAATCAATGAGAGAACTTACTGTTGGGACGAGTGCACCGAACATCGCAGAAGCAGCTGATAGCGCTCGTGCACGAGTGTCTCCGGCACAAGAAAGCAGACCAACAGATGATAGAGCAGTGCGTATACGAGGCTTGCCTGAGCCCTGCGGGCTTATGAATGAAATGATGAAAAATGACAAAGAAGAGGCACAAAAATTGCTTGATCATATGGAAGTTGAGGGAAAGATACTTGATGTTCGTAGATTGGGACTTCCAGCTGAGGGAAGAACAAGAACAATGTTGGTTACCCTAGACTCTTCCTTCGCCAAGCGGATGGTTTTGGCATCTCTGGCCAAACTGAGAAGCTATGAAAAAAAAAGGTTTTTTTTTCGCCTGATCTTTCTGCTAAAGAAGTTGAACTCGAGCAGGCTGCTCTAAAGAAAAGAAAAGAGTTAATCCTGAATGGAGAAAGCAGGAATAATTTAAGAATCAGAAAGCTGCAATTGGAAGTCAAGAGTGACGGGCAATGGGCTCCGGCACAATGACTAACAGGTAGTACCTCTCAAAAGTCATTCAAAGTGATGCTGATAAATGCAAGATCCTTCAAAAAACCCGGAGCTTCGACAAGTTTAAGTCTTGATCTGTACCAGAAGTCTGTAGATATCTGTCTAGTGACGGAAACTTGGTTGAACGAAAGTATCGACTCAGCTTATGTGTATCCCAAAGTACACACTTGTTCAGAAAGACAGAAACATTGACAGTTCTGGAAAAAGTCACGGCGGAGGCGTAGCAGCATATGTGAAAACTCCAATTGAGCTTACGCTACTGGAGTACGAGAGTCAAGGCACCGAAATGCTATGGTTCTCATCAGTCCTACAGCGGAAAAAGTTTGTTTGGAGTTGCATACTACCCCCCATCCGTCAACAAAGTCGATCTCTATAAAGAACACATTCTTTCAGTGTACGATCAGCTTCTATCTGAAGACGTGGAGACAGTTATTACTCTGGCTGGTGATATCAATGATTTTGACGTCAAGCTGATCACAGAGGCAACAGCTCTGGACAGTCTCTGCCATGGCAAGACCCACAAAAACTCGCAATTAGATTTCATATTCACAACTCACCCAGCTTACTACAAATCGACTTACACCTTTGATGTCTCTTTCCCAACCGACCACGCGGGTATAATTTGTGAACCAGCGACCAATAATGACCCGAAGAGAAGATTTTGTTTTGTGAGAGACCAGCGGGCTCACAAAATCTAAGCTCTGAATCTAGCTCTTGAAATCTAAGAAGTTCACTGATGCGGAGAAGATGAACTCTAAGATAAAGCAACTGATGTATCAGAATATTAAGGATCGTAAAGCAAACATGGTCTCGGGGAAATGGTGGAACCTAGTCAAATATTACACCGGTAAACAGCAAGCAAATGCTCCTGTCATTAATTTTTCTTGTGACGAAATTAACAAGCACTTCACAAAAGTTTCGACCTCTCTAAACTATGAAGAGCCGCTCCTTTTGACACTTCCACAATCACTCCTCCGGAACAACACAAGACGTACTGATACGTTTAGAACACACTTGCAAAGCTTTTGACGAAGTTGGTTGTGACTACGTTCGCATTATTTCTTTAGACCTGAGCAAAGCTTTTGATAGAGCTCCGCATAAACTCATAATCAAGAAAGTATCCTGGATCCCTTCATTATCAATCTATTAGCGAACTTTCTCACAGGAAGGCAACAATATGTGGCAAAAGACAATGAAGGTTCAAAAATGAGAACAACCAAGTGGTGTGCCTCAAGGAACGGTGCTAGGGCCCCCATGCTTTAACGCTGCCTACAGTGATCAAGTAGTGGAAGCTGAGCGGTATGTCCCAGTCAAGTTCGCTGATGACAACAACCAATGCGTGGGAGGCAAAAACAACTCAGATGATGCCCAAGCAGTTATTCGACAAATATCTACGTGGTGCAGTATAAACAACTTTGTTTTGAACACGTCGAAGTCGAAAGAAGTTGAAGTCCTATTCTCTCGCTCAGCATCAGTGGCTGTCATTTTTGGTGTCAAAGTCGAAAAATGGGCTACACATTGATAACAGTTTCTCTTTCAAACCCTACATTGAAAAAGTGAAACTCAAACAGTTGGGGTACGACAAGAGTGAGCTGGAACTTTTATAAGAAGCTTTGGTGAAACCGCATATTTTTTACGGAGCATCCGCTTGGGGAGGCTCACCTGCCTATCTTCTGAATAAAATAGATGCAGTACAGGGCCGAGCGACACGAGCGGAAATCATACAGACCTTCACTTCGGTCAAAAAGATAAATGCGGATTGTGATCGAAAACTTTATGAGCGTATATATTCTACACTATCCCATCTGTTGAAAGATATCTTACCTCAGCGTACCTGTTACTCAGTTAAACTCCGTAACCGATTACCATGCAGTAGCTCAACACAGGAAGAAAAATACAAGAACTTGTTCCCTGGCCGTCTCCTTCGGCAACTCAACGACTGATATATAGCGAAATAGATGTATTTCTATTTTAATTTAAGTTTGTTGTTGTTGTTATAAGGCGAAATGTTGATAATAAAGAGTGTATATTTTTTAGCAGGAACCGTATTTGATTAATGACGTTTTTGTCATTTGATTGATAAAAAAGGAAAAAAGTGAACTTAAAATCAATAGTCAAACTGCAAAAAATCAAAACTGAGCGTGAACAAATTATAAGACTTTCGCGTGAAAAAAACATCTTGACCTATTTAAGAATCTTCACTTTCATCAGCTTAAAGCTTCCAAATCTATCAAATAAAACAAAAATTCAGCGAAGATGGAAATCTTTGCGAATGATGCGTTTTTAAAGCAGACACAGTTAGAAAAATCTTGATGAACAAACACACCACAGAAAAACCATTTTTTAGTCAAATTTATTGTTTCAAAGAACAAATTTATCACCTAAAGGCGCATTCAATTTTATTATCTTTGTTGATTAATCATGTTATGATAACACAAACCTAAACTAACTTAATTTGGGAGAACTGCATTTGGGAGAAATGATTTTGTTGATTGACCATTTTATGATAACATGTCCTAAACCTAATTTGGGAGTTGGGAGGAGGTGCAGATTTGAGGGGCGGGAGGGGGGTGGGTCTCAGGGATTCGACTCCCTGCCGACTCCACTGACCCTAAAACTTAAATTTTTCTAAAGACGCCTTGGGTGCCAAAATATACTTCATTTGAGGGGGGAGCGCCCGCCGAAAAAAACGCGATTTTTTGGTTAAAATTTTCCAAGTGCCTCAAAACGCATTTTTTGGCATGTTTTTTTTTCAAAATTTTTTTCACTTTTTAGTGCTTTGGCAGAGCTCGGAAAATCAATTTAGTCGGCCTAAAAAATCCGCCTTTCTCGAGAAAATCCTAGATCCGCCCCTTTTTGGGATAACTAAGAATCAACCTCCACTTTTCTCTCGTTTACACTTCTAGCATTAGCAAACGAAGTTGAAAGCGAGCTTAAAAAGAAGCCAAAGTCTAACACAAAATAGAAAAATGAGCTTGAAAAATTCTAATTCTAAAAAAGTATACCATTAGTTACTGTACCAAACCGCTGACGGAGACCACCTTAATTGACTCGCATTTACATATTTAACCTAAAGCGCAGTTTCAACTGCAGCTTTGACGGCGGCCAGTCAATAAGCAGAATGGTCTAAGAGCAGAATGTGTCCAAAAGCAGAAAAATATCAAATTATATTGGCTAATTGGTATATTAAGTAGAAGAATTGTCAATATTACCAAAGCCAATAGTTTATGCATAATTCAATTCAAGCCTATTTTAATCATTTTCTTGGTAATATTGACGATTATAGTAAATGTTTTTATCAATTAGCCGGTATAAAACCATAAAATATAATATTGCTCGGTTTTTCTGCTCTAGCACCCATTCTGATCTTAGACCATTCTGCTTTTTGCTCCGCCTCCAGCTTTGACTTTATCTTTAATGAGCACAAATTTAAGTGTTAATTGGCATTAAAAACGGAGATTACACAGTGCATATAAAATCGCCTTACGGGCAAATGCTTTGGCTCTTATAAAGTTATAGATGTCAAAACAAGTTTATTATTCTTAGGTAAATTGGATATATAAAAAAACTCATTCGATGAGACACTGGAATTATCTCTATGACAATGCCTGCCTAGTAGATCTAGCGAAATCGACGAAACCATGATGACTTGAATAAATATATCCTAACAAAAACTTCCTTGCAAAATGTAACCCTAATGTTACAACTCGCGTATATAAGTGTTCTTAGTTTCGAATGTTTGCTCGCTACAAAAAAGGTGAATTATTATCGATTTGATTCATTATCATTAGATAGTTAACCGCCATGGATACGATATTAAGGGACAGCACCAAGTTCTATACAATACTTTAAAACAGTAGCAATATAAATACAAAATTAATTATATCCACGCATTTTTGACTGAATGCATTTTGGGAAAATTTAAGGAAAGGATAAATTATTAAAATTCATAAATTTTTTAATTATTAGATGTTCTAATTACACTCAACTTCACCGATGTATAAATTTTGACACAAAAATTCAAGACCCTAGAACATGATTTTGAAAAAACAAGTTTTTAAAAAATATTTGTAAGCTTTTCGAGGAATTAGAAATCTAATACTTCTGCAACAAACTTATAAGGGCAACATAAATTGTGATCAAGTAAAGTTGAAACTAATAGCATTCACCAAATTCGCATAAATTTAACGCTGCCACCAGACAAAGTGATCGGATCGGAAAATTCTGTGTAATGCGCGCAAAGGAAGGTAGTCAAGTCTATTGCAACAAGTAGTAACACTATCTACTTGGTATAATAAACTCTGTAGTACAGCGTCTTGCCTCTGAACAGTGAAAAGGTGTTGTCAAATTTGAGAAGATAACATCCTTGGCCAGGGTATTCATGACTTCCTGCTTGAACTTCAGTATGGCTGTCTCGTCTCAAAATTGGCGCGATGACGTCAAGCGCCGGCTTGTCTCCGTCGCCATCAAAATGTTGCATCTTCTCGACATCATTCGGATTTCCCGAGTCAACAATCTCGTCGTCTTCGTCTTCATCTGGTTCCTCTGCTGTGATCGTGATTTCATTGGTCGGTGAGATTGTCCACTCGAAATGTAGGCCAAATCCGATGTCGTAATGATCCGTTGCGAACTCCCAAAAGAGGAACGATCCGTCTTCGTGAGTGGGAACCCGAATGGTCACGAGCTCTCCTCGGCCAACGCGAATCACGAGGTTGCTGTCTTTCTTCACGAGGTCTTTAAACTCTTTCATATTCTTATTCGTCCACATTGATGGATTGGCCACCAGCAAATTATCACTAGATGGCGAATAAAGTCCTTTCTCAGGGTCACCAGTCGTTGGTTGAGTCTTCGCATTTTGTTCCGATGTTTCGGATTTCGCATTGGCAGCCGAGTTTGTTTCGTTTTGAATCGTGACATTATCTTTCGAAGATTTCGTCTCCTTTTCAAAACTCAGCTTGCTGGAGGCTCCAATTTGAGTAAACCCATCTTCAGAGGTATTTGTCGTCATGCTATTTAGTTGCGGGCTAATTGGGATATTGGATGAATTATTTTGCTGGGCCGAAGCTTTCAAATGGGCAATTTGTTGGAAGTAAATATGTTGCATATACTGCTGAAAATGCTGCTCTTGTAATTCCCCGATCAGTTTTTCCTGCTCTTTTTTGTCTTGCGGGTAGCGAGAAACTGCATACTGTTTGAATTGCTGGAAGGTTTGTGCGTTCAAAACATTTTTGATTAGGGCCTTTTGCTGTTCTATTTGGTGAATATGGGACAAATTGTCAGTATTTCCGCTGGTAACCCCAAACCCAGGATTCGCAGAAGAGTAGTTTACAAATTGGGAAGCGTTGAAAGATGCACTGTTATCACTGCTATTGTCTTTACTAGACGCTGTTGAATTGCTATTCGTACCCGCTGCTGATGCTGCTGCTGCCGTTGTTCCAATTTTATTCTTCTGCTCTCCTTTAATATTCTCCACATTTGCTTCCGTTCTATCTCGCTTGGAATTATTCGCAGCAGCTCCATTGTTTTTCCAAGGTAATGATTGCAAAGAATTTACCGAGTTTTCACTCATTTTGTTGTCTTTACGTAAAATTTCCCCTTGATTTTCATTTGCATAACCACCACTTATTCCATCTTTGCCCCCCACTCCCTCGTAAGAAGAGTCAAGCAAGCTACCGTTTTCTCTTCTCCGTTTCTCCAGCTCGATATTCAAATGGGCCTTATACCACGGCTCAAACAGTGCACAGCAACCACGTAACTCTTTCACAAAAGCAATCATTGCATCTTCCTTGGACATATTTCCCAATTTCTGCCACGCAGCTTTTCTATCATTACCTACCAGGTTGAAGTAACTGACGTCCAAAGCGCTGTCCTGAGACCCGTCGTTTCGTTCGGGGTCATAAGGGCCTTTAGCCACCAGTTTTGATAAGGCAATAAATCTCAATTTCTCGTCATAACTAAGTTTGAAGGCCTTCCCCTCGTTAGAGCGGTAAAACGCTTTCGCGCAGTGGTACTCAAATTGAAGGTCATTGCTTGAAGTATCTGCCATTTTTGATTGCTGAAAAACTTTTACATTCAACCTGAAAGAAAAGTACAAACTCAAATTACTACAACGACATTCGCAACACTTTTTTTGTAATAAAACATCCATCGCACTTTTAGCATCTTTCGAACCACTTTCTGAGCTATTCCGCGCCGTAATGCTCCAGGTAGAGTTTTTTGTGGTATAATGCAGTTTTGAATGTTGATTAAAACTTGTTCGATTTTTACCATTGGATCTGAGAGATTAATTCTTGCTTTCTTTCATTATTATGAGTGATCGCCGACAACCAAAAATAGAGATCTTTTTCAATTCCATAATCAATCACTTTTCCGTAATATTGAACACACCAAATTTATTTTTCATTATCTAATGTTAAGGTAAAAAGGAGCTTCACCTTGGCAACCTTGTTATTCAAAATTTAAAGCGAATACTACAATTAACTATGAACGGATTTCAAATTTTACATATTCCTGTCTATTTTAAAACTCCATATTTTGCAAAGTCCATTTTCATAGCGAAGATATGTTTCAACAAGACCACTCATGTATTAGAGCGAAACCTTGAATGATCTGACTGCACTTAAAGGCCAATTAAAACACTTTTTGGTTGAAACATTGACGAAATAATCGAAAAACGAAATAACCGAAATGTTTCTTCTTAATTTTATGCACCCAAATGCTACTTACTGTTATCTACAAAAGAATGCATGTACCGTCTCGTATCCTAAAAATAAGGTAAAAAAAGTTAAACTGAAAAATTCGATAAAAAACACTCGAGAAAAAAACATCAGCATTAAATAAGCTTCAAGAATTTACCGAGCGTGCACTAAGCCGATAAAACGTGAATAGGTGCCTATTGAGACCCAAAAAAATGTCAAAAGAAGATGTCATTTAAAAAATGAACTTAGATTTTTATACCATAACGGACCTGAATCATTTCAAGTCAGAGCGAGTAAGTTTACAAGCTACAGGGGTAATGACACTTGCAACTACAATGAAAAATGCTTACAGCAAAATAAAAATTCGAGATGTGGCAACTAAATCGACAAACGAAAGTCCGACGAAATAAACGATAGTCCGATGCTCAACTTTCCCGGAAAAATTTAAACTCCATTTCATACTGAAAAAAGCCCCGACCGAGGTTCCAACATGAGACCTTAGCGTGCAAAACTAACCGTGTTACCTCAAAGTTTGCAAGAAACGTTTTAGATGAAGAAAATCCAACAACTCCGCAAGTGTAAAGAGTGGCGATGCGAGGCACCAAAGAAAATTTGTCTCGAATGCCGTTGAGAAAAGATGGAGACTTTCGAATTCCAAGTGGCCTTTAAGCTCTTCAAAATTTTAACAGAAAACATTTAATGACACAGAGGCAAAGCGGAGCTTCGAATCAATTGCGATACAACGCAAGCGCAGCATTGCAAGCTGGTGGATAGGAACAAGAATAGAATGGAAAAAAAATTTAAAAGAAACGAAAACTATTTCAGGAAAACAATCGAAACACAACTACCACTATCAGATAAGCTTTCAGAATTAATCGAGAGTTATGAGCCGACAACGAGTGGGTAGACACCCATTGAGCGAAAAACAAAAAATTTTATCGAAAATTGTTGTCAAAAAATTTCAGCCAATTAAGTTTCAAAATTTGAAATCCTGTAAGACAAATTACCCGAACTTTTCAAAATACCGATCAATTTTGCCTTTGAAGCGAACGAAAACCAGTTAACCAAGCCGAAAAAAAAACAAGCCGAAACCATTCTGGACGAATAAAGCTTTTAAGCGACGAAAAAGAAAAACAAGGAAAAAAATACGTCAAGGCTAATAATTTCACAAAATACGGGAGTAAATCAAAAACACTTTCATCTATGATGAAAATTGCTGAATGCAACGGACAACTCCCCGAGGTAGCAACTAAGCTGAAAAAACACGCAGTCACAAGAAAAACCGAAAATTCAATTTTTCTCGGATTTTTTTTCCAATTTCATATAGAGGCGAAGCGGAGCTCGGCAACAATTGCGATACTATTAAAACATTGCATTACAAAAAGTCATAATTTTGAAACATTCAGCTCAAGAAGTTATTTGAAAAAAGCCTATAAAACTACATCTACAATAACTTCATGCCTTTGACTCGGATAAGGCTCATCAAAAGTTTTAGCAATCATAGCGAATCAATAACCGAGCGGCAAATAAAGCGATAAGTTTGACTCGATCCTCGTTAGGCCGAAAACGATACTGTAGTCCTTCCTAAAAAAAATCTCAATCTTCGAAATTTTTTACATCAAAACTTTATAACCTATCCCTCCTGAAACAGGCAAAAATTTTTTAAATAAACCGCCCAACTAACTACCAAAGAAAAGTTCACTAAGGCGAAAAAACGCAAACCAAACCCATTTAAACTAAAAAAAAATCAAAATCCAAATTGATTAAATTACAAGCTACAGAACAACTTTCATAAATAGTACAAGGAGCCCCTATAAAGCTGGATGTACTTGTTTGATTTTTTCAGAATTTGTTGAACTGATGCAAAATGAAATGGGTGAAATCCAATACTCCAAAATTTGCCTTCACCCTAAGTCTTAGTAGTTTCTCTAAAAAAATAAACTGTGATAATTTTTGATAAACTACTTTTCTTACAATTATTGCGGCGTAGCCGTTTGAGCACGGAGGCCACCCAATGACCTCAGTTAAACCCTTGATATGAGATTTGGTTGAGAAAAAAGACTTTTCTGAGTTTTAAATTGGACGTAGCCTTTTATTCGGCGGAGCTCCGTTCAACTCTTTTCTTTTGAGTGAGCCCAAAATCTCAGATTTTGAGAAAAATCAAAAACCTTCAAAAAATCAAATTTGCCGAGGGTCATAAGTTTCTTTGTAGAAAAATTAGACGTAGCCGCTTATCATGCGTGGGACTTTTTCGCAGCTCATTCTTTTGATTGCAACCTATATCTTAGATTAGAGAGGTCAGTTTTCGAGCGGGATAGGAAATTTCAAAAAACGATTAAAACATCAAAAGTTGGACTTTACCGAGGGCCATAACTTTTTGTTTCGAAAAAATGTTTGAAGTAATTTATGCAGGGTAACCTCACACAACCTGTTCATTCGATTACAGTCAAAATCTCATGTTTGCGAGGGTAGTTTTAGCGAAAAAAAAAACAATTTCAAAACAAAGTCAGAAAACCAAAATTATGAGTTTTTCTAGGACTATGAACTTTTTTTGAAAAAATAGGCTGCGCCGCCAAGCCAATGGAACCTCCTGCAACTTATTCTCTCCATTGTTTCCAAAATCTCTGACTCAATAAGGTATTTTGTGCGAAAAGTCAGAAAATTTCAAAAACGGACAAATAAACTAAGTATTTGACTTTTTCGAGGGCCATAATAAATTGATGAAAATCAGGTGAACTTCACTCAATCAAAAAAAAATTTCAAAATGCTACAAAAAACAGAATTTTGACTTTTCCACAACATTTTGTATCCATTTCAGAAAAATATTCGAAACATGCAACTACCACTATCAGATGAGCTTTCAGTATTAACCGAGCAGTCTGTGAGCCGACAACGAGTGGGTAGACACCCATTGAGCCAAAAACAAAAAAAACTCCATCAAAAATTGTTGTCATAAAAAAAATTTCAGGCAATTAGGTTTCAAAGTTTTGAAATCCTGCAACACAAACTTTTCAAAACATCAATCACGATGAAAATTGCAGAGTGCACCAGAAAATTCCCCGATGTGGCAACTTAGCTGAAAAAAACATACGTAGGCAAAAGAAAGTCCGACAATTAAATTTTTCTCTTAAATTTCATATAGAGAGGTGATGCGGAGCTTCGCAAAAATTGCGATACTACAAGAACATTTACATTACAATAATTCAAATTTTTGAAACATTCAGCTCAAAAAGTTATTTGAAAAAGCCTAAAAACTACATCTACAAAAACTTTATACCATTTTCTCGGATAAGGCTCATCAATAGCTTTAGCAATCATTGAAAATCAATAACCAAGCGGCAAATAAGGCGAAAAACTTGGCTCGACCCTCGTTAGGCCGAAAACGATAACGTAGTCATAAAAACATCAATCATCAAAAATTTTAACATCAAAATTTTACAACGTATATCACCTGAAACAGACAAAAATATTTTAAATGATACTCCCGTCAAATTACGAAAAATATGTTGACTAGGGTGATTAAAAAAAACCGAACCCATTTAAACGAAAAAAAAAACTGAAAAATATTAATAACTTCAAAAAACGGTCAAATAAAATAGGTATTTGACTTACTCGAGGGCCATAACCATTCGGTGAAAAAATTGTGCACCTGCAGGGGACTTCACTTATTTAGTTTGAAACGGTAAAAAAAAACAGCATTTTGATTTTTCCGAGGGCCATAAGTTTGTGGAAAAAACTAGTGCGTAACATCTTCAGCAGGGGAGCTTTCTACAACCTTTTGTATACATTGAACTCAAAATCTTCAATTTCGAAGGGTAGTTTTCGATAAAATAAAAAAAATCAAGACTCGCGTCAAAAACTTCCCCATAGACTTTTTCGAAGGCAGTACAAGTCGGGTACGGTGTGGAGAGACTAGGCGTATATGCAAGCACACAGAGTAATGAGCAGTCTTTCCATTGGTACTACCTTTTGCAAATGTTCTTTCCCAATAAAAAGAAAAAAAATCGCTTAGTTTCAAAATAGTTTCAAACAAGTTATTTCAACCATCATTTAAAAAACCAAGCTTTCAGAAGAACATCGGCTAAAAAAATGCACTTGAAACAATAAACAAAAATCAGCCAACAAAAATGGGGACTTATATCAAAATTCCGGAAAAAAAATCCGACTTTCAGGAAACTGAACACACCTGAGCAGCAGCAGAAAAAATAACCACTTCCCGACTACAAGTCAAAAGTGGAAAAATGGAAAAAAATAAATTCAAGGTGTATCCATCCTCCAAAATGACACCAGTCACTATTGTTTTAAGACGAACTTTCTATGACATATTCTAGTTAGTTGGGCCATGGTTTGGTTCTAGCCCGCTTCGGAATAGTAG